GAAACATGGACCTAATGTTTAACTACATTGTCTTCGGGTTGTCTTGGTGGTAAAACCAAAGAGTGTGCATGCCTTATACTGTACATACGACTGCTACCTGACTTATTCTATGTTTTGACATCTCTTCCTGCATTTTAAGTCTGTCTGTAATTTCTCTATAGAATGTCACTTTGAAGAGACAAAATGGAAAAGGATTTACTCTCTCTTTAGGCCTAACAAATAAAAGCACTGCTGTGAATATATTTTTTTTGTGTGTTATATTTGTAGCAGCTTTGGTGCAAAGTGAGTTTGTTTTTGAGCAGTGCATGACCTTTTAATATTCCAAATGACACAGTAGGACTGTTGCACATGTGCTAATTCAGTCATGATATCTGATCTGTTGATCAAGTTACATTTTGGGAATTTTTACAAATGGTGTTCTCCATTTTTAGTTTTTCCTTTAATATGTTATGTACATTATCAGCCGATAGAGATTTTAACCAGATAAATACCAAATATCAGTATCGGCTTAAAAATTTAAGTTCTGTATCAATGTTTCCTTTTCAGTTCGTTTAATAAAAAAAAACTGTTCAAACATTAGAAGCCACAGAAGAAATATCATAGCTGTGGTATTATCAAGAGAAACTACTTTGAGACTGATTTTAGTAGAAATGTTGAAATAGAAATGTTTTTATTTCAGCTTCAAAAGCCACATGAGTTTTCCTTCCACACGTCTAAACTGTTCCCGCATCCTCAGATAACGTTAGTGTGTTTGATATTTCATTCTTTTGCAGTCTGACTCTCTTAGGATGTACTGTGATGTGAATAGTTTCATTTTTGTGGATTAAAGACAACTGTCCAATTTCACAGTAATACCACAGATCTAAAGAAACACTCAGGTCACATTCAGGTTGGGCCAGATCCACCTATGCAAAAAAATAAACATGCCAACACAAGTCAGGTTTCCATCCACATGTAGCGCAAATATTAACCAAATGTTTAGGTTACATCCTCATCGCTCCACACAGATCGGCTGTTTTTGTCTCTCCAGTGAAAGCTGGAGTGGCAAATAAGTCACATGCTTCATTTTAGTCTATAATAAAGTATAATTTATTTGCTTCGTCTGTAGCAGACTTGTTTTGTTAAACACGGAAACTTTTTTACCTGAGCCAACATTTCCAGCATTTTTTAATTGGCTATATTTTTCTATGCACATATTGAACACGCGGCTCGATGGAGACGAGCTGTTCCTGTAAATGCACCTGGCCAATGCATCTTCATTTTGTTACAAATATGACTGCACATTGTGTTAATGATAGTAAAATTTAAATGATTAAGGAATACATGTGGACACCGTTGTTGTTAGTATTATTGCCATAGTTGCTCATTTTTATAAAGTTTGCATATTAATTTAAAAAGAAGCATGTAATACCTTGATTTAATTAATAGTGGGAATACCAGACCCGGTAGTATAATTTCAGGACATATGTGTTACACATGTATCCTACTTTATATGGTGTGGGTAGAAACATTGTTTAATAAATATTCACTTGTTAAAGGCAAAGGTTGTCATGCAACTTTAATTTGAAGGAGCAAAAAAGAATCTGATATGCCGATATAAGATAAGTAGAATGAAAAGTTTCCAATATGTGTATAACACACTTTATCTACAAACGGAAAGATAGTTCAAAACAGCTAGAGGTCTCGCCATGTTCCACAGAGACATTGTTTAATCATATTTAATGTGCCTTATCTTGAACTATTTTAGGAAGAGAATTGATACCCTCAATTGCATGACTGTATTGAGACTGAGGGATTGTTAAATGTGACTGTTGTGCCTGATAGTGCAGAGACAAGATGACTAAAAGCTGGGGGAAGATTAGTGAATGCGTTAGTGGTGACTGGGAATCCTTCCATAGTCATAGGGTAAGTGCTGAAATTGATGGAAATGGACAGTCAAGCCAACCATCGAGAGCGTCTGCTTTGTATGAATAAGGAGCAGGAAAAAGTTGAGCGAGAAATATCCAAGGTCTTAGATGAGTCTGAAAAGATGCAGAACTTCTCCCTCTTTAGGGGTTTTCCCCAAGCTTGCTTAAAAAAAAATCCCCCCACCCTTGTGGTTTGAAATGCAAAGTTAACAGTTTTACTCAGCCCCCCAAGGCTTGTATAGTCTCTCCTAATCTTTTTTAATGTGTCAAAAGGCTTTCTTGAGAGTCTCTGTGAAATTTCACACTTAAGTTGTTTGCAAAGTCAGTCTGAATTACAGTGTAGAGTGAGGCTTAACTTTTCTGAAGGCGTTAGGGAAAACTTTCTTAAAACGGTGTGTGTTTTGTTTGTGTATTGAGGGGGTGTTAGAGACAGCAAGACAGTATATATTCAGACTGATGCTATATGTTATGTTAAAAAAGACAAAGTATTCTAATATAGGTGTGCGTGTATGCAAACCATGTCATTGTTAAGAGGTTAAATTGCATCAAAATGAACTTTACTGCAAAGTACTGTGTGTGTTTAATTGGATCACATATATTATTAATTAAGATCATCCATTGTGATGATATGATTATTGTTTTACAATATTGCGCTGTCCAAATCAGTTTCAAACTGAAATATTAGTTAAAATGGCTTAATATGGTACGCAGTAATAACAACATAATATGTCCAAATGAAAAATATCTTGTTATAACGTGAAAAGGATATTCTTAAAACATGAAACGTTTCACGTAATAACGAGAAACTGTGCAAATATTCTTGTTTGAGATGGCGGTAGTAATACACTGCCATAACACATTGATACTGGAAACATTTTCTTATTAATACTGTAATATTGACTTCTGCCATATCACTCAGCTTCTAGTTAAGATATTATCACACATACAGTAGCATACAGTAAATAACTAGTAATTTATTATTGAAGCTGTGATTATTTAGTAATTAAGTAATGCATTAATAATACTTTCAACTAAAGTATATACATTTTGACTGATAAAAATAGAGAAGAGTGTCTCATTCTTCCTAATTGAGGCAATGTACTTAATAGCCACATAAACATATTGCTCCTGAACGAGAAAGTAACATTATCATTATTTATCATCTCAGATCACACTCATTAACATGGACAGGTCAAAGGCATGCAGCAACTAAAGAGACAGCTTCGTTAATATGGAAATCTTTTCCACTACACAGACATTTTTGTTCAGATTGTATGCATTTGATTAGTTTCATCACCCTCAGAAAGGGGTGAATCCATTCTCTTAATGTAATTTGTGGAAAATGTACCATGACAGTGTAATTATTTTGAGGGGGCCAATTTGCATTTCCAGTGCTCTGCTAACTAAATGCTACTGTAGGTTCTAAGGCCTTAAAGATAAATTAATAATCTAGAGTATTTAAAACCCATGAAACATTTAAATTAAGTAATTTCACTTCCTAAAGGGCATAGTGGAGATTTTTCCACACACATGCAGACAGAAACCCTTTTTAAATAAACATCAGCACTAATCACTGAGACAGAAATCAGAGTGAGAGGAGAAAATATTTTCTGGAGCTTTTTAATGGTTCCTTAGGGGCTCCCCTCTGACTTAGATTAGATGGGATTTAGACAAAGTTGATGCAGGGTTAGGGTTAGGGTTAGGGTGTACTTCACCAAAACTTGGAATTCGTGTTATCTCAGTTCATTATTAGGATCACAGACTTAAATTTTACTGTATACTTTTTCACTGCGAGAATTACAACACACGTTTTTATTCAATTTAAGTAAGGGATTACAAAGGAGTGTACCAGTGCAGCAAAACATGGCTATTTGGGGCATTGCTGTGCAGCAGGCTTTGATCAACTTTTAAGGGAAATCGATTGGAATTGTTGCTCTGCCCCAATTTAGAAGACATCTCATCAAACTGAGTTGCAAAGGGTCTAAAGACTACAAGTGTTCGTTTTTGTTCCCCTAGTGCTGCAAATTTAGTAATTGACTCTGATTTTTGGCTTCAGGCAGTAACCTAATAAGGCCATCCAAGGTTAATGATAGACCCTTTTTAGACTGGCTGAACGTCTGACACCGATATGTAGTGGTAGTGAAAAACAATTATTACTTACATGAGAGACACTCAGGGCAAAAGCCTCTGACATCTGAGTGAAACGTTGTTATTCTGTGTTATTTGCTGCTATATTTTGTTATAGTTTAGCCTGTTCAACAAATGCCACAGTTGCTCAGACAGAGAGAATCCCAGCAGTGGGTTGTGTTGCTGCTTTACAACCATCTCTTCCCAGGAACACTACCACCACAAATCTCAGTGATTTAACATCTTTCCCTTCCAAACAGCTGGAGTCAGCACAAGTGTCATGTGCCATTGCCAATCTTCTGTCATGGCGTCCTTTGCCAAACAATTTATTGCTTCCCCTCCTGCTTTATTAGCCATAGATTATGGGTGGTCGTGGACAGTGTAGAGCCTCTGCTGTCGAGGTAGCCTTGTAATTGACTCTGAAGAGGCAGGGTAGATAATCATTTGAGCGTAAACCACAGTATCAGTAAATAGCTGTTGAACACAACTCTTGTATTTCCATCATTCAGCAGGATTTCATTTATCAAAGTTTTCAGTTCATCCAGTTATCATTACTTGCTAGTTACAAGGCTTTTTAGCCATGCTAGCAGCATGTCTGTTGGTCAGTCCACTGCTTTGCTCCAGGCTGAAATATCTAAACAACTATTTGATGGATATCCATGAAATGTTTTACACACATTCATGGTCTCCATTCATGGTAAGATGAATGCTGCTGTCTTTGGTGGTTTTCACTTGTCCTGTGAAATATCTCAACATCTGCAGGATGAATTGGCACAACATTTGGTGCAGACACGCATAGTTCCCAGATGATGCATCCAAAAAGACTTTGGTCATTGTCTAATTATTGCATCTCTACAAGGTTGACGTGTGATTTTGAGTAAAATGTCTCAACAACTTTTGGATGGGATGTAGTTCAGTTTGTCTTTCATTGAGCAGTAGAGCAAATTATTTTCTACTATTTTTCAGAACTCTGGATCCTCTGCAGCCTCGACCCCCAACGCTCCTGTGACTGGTTACAAGCGCATGGTCATTCCAACCCAGCCACCTCTGACTGCCACCAAGAAGTCTACACCCAAACCTCAGGCTCCTGGGGGAGTCTCGTCTGGTTCCCCTTCCTCTGTCAGCCCGGTGGCCAAGCCTCTAAGCCACAATGCTCCTCAGCCTGTCCCGGCCTCTTACGCTACAGCCTCAACCCCTAGCCAGCCCACCTTCAACGTCCAGGTGAGGTCGGCCCAGCCCGGTCCCCAGCATCAGGCTCCAGGTGGCCACCATTTTGGTCAGCAACCCATTCGCAGCCCTTCACAGGTGCACTATATGCCTGCCCAGCCCAAAGGTCCCGACTTTGCCTATGGACCACCACAGCCTGGCTTCTCCCCAATGGCTCAGGGTGCATATCAAGAACAGCACCATCCAGGAGTACACCAAGTAGGTGGCTTAAGCTCCAGGAGACCTGAGCCGGCTCCTGCGCAAGCATACCAACCTCCAGGCCCCAAGAAGACCTACATCACAGATGTACCACCAAGCTTGCCTCCTTGCACTTCTGGACCAGCTGTTCCACCAAAGGTAAGAATGTTTTTCATCATATGTACAACATACTTGATCTGTTGCCCAAAGTTTTTGTTATTGTAAACATAGTTGAAAAAACATTTATCCATCTATCCTTCCACCCATATATTTATGCTACTTTTCATACTCTGGATTGGTACCATTGGTCTAAGCAGACTAGCCCAGTCTTCCATTTTCCCAGCCACGTGTCCCAGCTCCTTCTGAAAAATCCAGAGACGTTCCCAAGTCAGCTGGGATATTTAATCCCTCTAGCTTATTCTAGGTTTGCTTTGAGGCTTCCTCAAAGTAGATATCCCTGGAATACCTCCACTGGGAGGAGTCTGGGAGGCATCCAGATTGGATGCTTGAACCACCTCGACGTGCTCTTGTGAAAACCAAAGTGTACCTGTCCTTCATCAAACTTTCTGGGATATTGGACCTCCTCTATCTCAAAGACACCATAAGAAGAAAACTAATTTCAGCCTTTTCCAAAACTCTGTTCTGTTAGTTGCTACTCAAATTCTCTTAAAGTAGTTGAGGGTTCCAACAAATAAGAGGGTAAATATAGTGCTTTGGTTTACTCCAGTACAACATATGCATGACTGAAATCACTGCGCCTTGTGCAGTTTTGGGTGTACTGTATATATGTGTGTGTACAGTATGCATACATTTGTGCAGCATCGGATTGCAATGCAAGTGGGAGCTGCTTGCATCTTTCATTGAAATGCTCAGAATAAACAGTTGTTTTAACCTTTATGAATTTTTGAAAGATCTTCCCTGTTGGGGGTTTACACCATCTGATTCCATTTGTCTCATAAAAGATAGCTTATATTCATGTGTATATCACTGTGCATTTTAAACCTAAGATTATAGTTTTATTGTAATATTTATTTTTCATTTAATTGGTGAAAAACAGATTCTTTATGTTTTTATGCTACTCTGTAATTATAAGTATTGTATATGTGCGTGGTTATGATTTCTAGATTCAATAAACCAAAAGTTGAAACAACTGAGCATTTGTTAAACTCCTCCCCCAAACAGCGATTGACCAACCGTAGCTATGCAGGCTATCTTTGGATTACTTGACATTCGATATAAAAAAAAAAAAAACACAATTAAATTGGATTGTCCTCTCATTTTTTACACCTTGTGGGCGATAAATGTTTATTATTTGGACATTTTTGAACAGTTTCTAGACTTAATTAGTCCATTGTTTAACAGTGTCATACGTGTACCACGTCATGCACATTAAATAAAAACACAAAAAATATTTATATGGTTAAAAAGTATTACATTTAACCTCGACAAGAGAGGTATTAGACAGTCATAGCCCTGGCCTCAAGCCTTCAAAAGCATTGCAAGATGTTGGATCCAGCACTAGACCTTTTTATAGAATTGTACATGACAGAAGAATTATAAAAAACTGTCGTCCCTTAGAACAGAGTAGTCAATGCCACAGAGACAGCTATTCTAATCTCAATATATCCAGCCGTCAACAATCTCTGGAAAGTGAAAGGCCCTTGAGTTTTCTTTAATTCAAGGATTTTATGCTGGTTCAAAATACAAACTGGGCCTACCAGCCTCTGGGAATAGCTCATCAAGGACTGTACTTTACTAAATACAAATTAGCTTCAACATTGCAGAGAGTATCTTAAAAATAAGTCTAATTATATTTATTCAGAACAAAAGTCTACATTTTGCTTGAAAAGCTTGCTTTGGTCCCAGTCTGATGCATTATTAAAAAACAAAAGGTGGCGTTTAATAGATTTGTGAGCATCTCTTTGATTTCAGATAAAAGCAAATCACTAATTTTACAGATATAGCGTGTACGCTATATATATAAATTTGCCTTTCTTTCCCAAGGATGTACTGTAGCAGGATAATAGGCTCTGTGCCTCCCTCCCCACGTGCTTTATTTGAATGCTTTAAAACATATTGGGAAATGTCATGCTCCATATGCACACATTCAGCTAGATGATATGCTAGAAATGAGTCTGTGGTGTCATATCATGTTTGACCCGACCCTCCCCTAAATCTTTTGTATCCAAACCTTAGCTCTAATTTTGTGTATTTGTGTCCAGTATAGCAGATATTAATGCCAAAATAACCCAGAGACACTATAAAGGCAAGCTTAGACTGAAAGCAAAATCTGTCAACTTTGCCTTTATGATCGTCACTCTGCTTGACCTAATGTCGTGACATGTTCATAACCTTTTACAAATGGTGGTAATCTACTTAAAAGAAGTGGGCTGTGCCTCTTGCAATCTGTTGTGTAAACAAACCAAAACATATTCACTCTAGTCACTTAGAGTTAATGGTGATTTTACATAATACCCGGGACTTTCTCAGCAGGGGGTCTGTGACTTTGATTGAGGACTTTATTCAAGAGATCATTTCATATAATTGAGGGTATTCATAGAAGGTCAGTGTCATTAGAAGTCCAAGATGAACTCCTTAGATGAAATTCTATGATCTAGACTTGTTCTTATTAGCTTGCCTGCTGTGCCCGCCCCCACTCCCCCAACTTAAGTCACCCCTTGCCACCCAGCACCCGATCCCCCAATGTGCCCTTACTCACACGTAAAGTGAAGGTGTAAGAACAGCTTCTCACATCAACAGGCTCCAGTGATGCTTAATTACCCAAATCCACCGGTGTTTGATCTCTATTCTAGTCCAAAAAATTAACAGATTTCATTGCTGCCGGTTAAACATACCAATTTCCACGAGTCTCTCCGTCTTTCCCGAAATTGGAGAAAAGCTAAGCTGGATGATGACTTGTGTTATTGCTGAGCTTGAGTGACATTTGACAGGGGAGGATTATTTTGAACTGCTCAATCCCTGCAGCCAGTTAAAGCCCCCTCGAAGGTCAATGATGGTTTCAACTGTCAAACATGTTTAAATATCTGACATTTCTCTGGCTTCTGGTCCTGTCCACTTTCCTTTTGACCTGCACAAGAACATTTGCATATGGTGCCATCAGGATATGTCCCAAAGACGTGTGACCTAGCATGAACCCTTAATTGCCCTCCCAAAATTGTTTGTAAAAGTAAAACAAAAATCCCACCTCCAAAATACTGTACTTAGCAACAACTGTGATCCCATAAGTAGAAAAGAAGTTGCACTACTGAAAGTCATCAAAATAAACAATTTGCTGTCTGTGTAAAGATTACTTGTGAAACTATCTTTGACAGTGCATTCAGTCAATAATTCTATATTTAAAAGGTAATTCTTCTTTATTTTTATGCAATGCTATTTTTACTAACATGTTCAACTGGAATGCATCATAAACACCACTTTATTCCGGCTAATATATCTATAAAATATATATATGATGTAAACGGCAACATACTTCAGAATTCTTGTACAGATCAACCAAAATCTACAACAGCATATTCTGTGCCTGAGTTATGGTTGTGACTAAGTTATTCATATAGCACTTTATAGCACAAAACAAAATTATTAAGGGCATAAAGAAATAAAAATTAAATAAAATCGGGAAAAGAAATAGGAATTTTAAATTAGATAAGAGGAGAGATACAATGATACAATTCTTGTTAAAGCAATTAAAACAAAATTAGAAAAGTAAAAGAAATACCAAACCAAAAAACAGTTTTTTAAAATTAAATATTACACCTAGATTACAGGCTTTTAGTTCAACAATCCTTATCTAATAATGTTAGAGTCATTTATGTGCAAACTTTTTTTTGGACATTCAGTTCTTAATATCAGCAAGGCAAAACTTTATATTGTGGCATACATTTTGGATCATCCAGATATCTCTGAAAGCCAATATTACTGTATGTCTTTGGAAGATATGCCCCAGAGGTGGAATTTAAATAGAGAATGAAAGGGGAGTGGACCCATGATATACCCCTGGGGGACTCCTTAAAAACAAAAGATTTGGCATTGACAATGGCTAGTGTTTTAGTTTTTCTACTATGTAGTCTCAGATCGTTCTTATTCTGCAGTGTATAATTACAGTAAAAGGAGCTTTTCTTTCACATGCACGAGAGGTACTTATATATATATTTATGCCTCGAAAGGTGATCAGGTCCAACACTTGCTGTGCTTACACCGTGCATGATGCCTTCTCCTCAGGTGATTGACCCCAGCTGCTCTACCCTCAAGAACTATGAACAGCTCTTAAAAAAGCAAGCTGACTGAGTGCAGGGTTACCAGCTCTGCTGTAGATAACCAGAGAGGTTTCTTTGCTTGGTGCAGGGTTACCACGTTAAACTACAAAGTGAGACCCCAGGGCTTTGACAAGATGAAGACATGTTATCTGCAGCCCTGTGATCTTTTTCTGTGTGTAGATGCACCTTGAAACAAATTTCACTTTGTTCTACACTAAACAAAGTGGTTATTCTAAACTATGTATTGACAGAGAATTCTTTTATTGCAACATAGATGTTTTGAAGTACCCTTTTTGGAAAAAATTAAATTGGTTCAGATCAGTGACTGATACACTATTTCACTATCTTATTTTGACCCTTGATACAGTGTAATTTCTTTCACAGTACCATCAAATCATTACATTTAAAGCTCATCCACATATTTTTGTGTGTTTTTCTACAGAATACCCCTCTGGCTACATGAAAAAGAGATGCATACTTCCTTAGAATTCCTTACAGTTGCTTTTTATTTTTACTAAACCTTAAGTGTTAACACAACGTCAGAAAAATGCCACCGTGTTTAAAGGACAGAATCATGTTTTCAATTCTGTGTGCCAATTTCTGCCAAATGAATGTACAGTGGAGCTTTCAGAAAAATGACACCACTTAAATAAGCCTGTGTGCGCGTGTGTGCGTGCATGTGTGCGCATGCAATTTGAGTGAAAGGTGCAAGCAATGAACCTAAAAATATAATTAGAACATATTTGTCGCAGTTTCTCAGACAGTGATATTGTCTTTACAGCACAGTTCAAAACAAAATGAGTCATGATTTTAAAAAAGCACACCCACTCATAGTACGAATACTCCAATTACACCTGTGAGCCACTCTGCCCTTCTAACAATTTC